CCCCAAAACCCCAAAACCCCAAAACCCCATGGTATCAGATAATTTAAGACTTAGAAGAAAAATATTAAAATCATTGATTCAATATTAGTAAAAATAATCACACAATAAATCAGCCAATTCCATTTTTTTATTTAACTATAAGTGCCTCAAATTATGATAAGTAGTATTGTCAATTTTTTATTTTGAAAATAACTATTCAAGCTTAATCTCTTCTGTCTAACTCAAAAGCCAAATAAGACTTCTTAATAGTATATTTGCTGAAATAAATCTCAGTATCAAATCCTCCACTTAGAGTCAAAATCTCATATCCATGATGATGATCAAAAATGACTTCTAGTGTGTTAAATAACGGAGTAAACTTATTTTCAGCTATCTAAGGCCAATATGAGCAGCTCGCTAGAATAGTCATATTTTGTTTTGACCTTACATTGCATATATATAGAGCTTTGTTAGACTTAACAACAAAGAATGGTCTTAGATCATAATCAAAATTAGGCACCTTTTTGAAAATTTAGATTTACTCATCACTTTCTGGGTAATAGCCATTTATCTTTGTTGATTAAAAGGACTGCTTTTCTATTATTATTATACTGGCTGATTTTTTAGTTGCATAAATAAATAAGTCTTATTTTATCTCGTCGATACAGTTCACATTTTTATCAGTTTGATACAAAAGCATGTCGAATGGTTATTCTATTAATTTTATATTAGTGTCTTATGCTCTTGGTATTCTATTAAATTAAATAAAGAACGCTCCTGATTCAGTTGCCACTATAAATTAGTCATTTGCTTTAAGAGGCACTATTTAGCTGATATTGGCCTGGATAGTTAGATGGAACTCTACAACTGACTAAGAGTAATTCGTATCAATGACCTAAATAACCCCTCTCTCTTATCCAACAAGCATATATACTTATGATGCTGGGCATAATGCTGTTACTCTTCTCTGTAGTTATACTTTCCCAATAGGTTTTTTCTTAGTCAAGTCATGAATTATAATCTCGTTATTGGCCTTAATGAATGGAAACTTATTTGTGTGTACAGTAGAAGCAAATATCTTATCATTTGAGTAGTAGAAAATCTTGAATTAATCTGGTATTGTTACTTGAAATAGTCCTCCATTTACAAGTTTTTTAGGCTCAAATTTGTCTCTATCAAAGTACTAAATAGTCCTTGAACCAGATCTCAATAAAACAGTTTACTTTTGAGGGTCTAGGAATTGGAAAGATATTACTGCCTGAGTCTGAGGAAGTTTAAACCGATCAGAAAGTTCTTAGATTTTTTACCTGAACTCTTCTTTTATAAAAGTAATGTCATATGGTTATTATGCCTTTTATTGATCTAAAAATCGCAAATTTTTATTTCTATTTTCTCTTGGGGATATAAAACTTCTAATATCATTTTAATTCCTTTGCATCATTATTTAAGAATTATCAGACTAATCCATATCTATTTTCATTGTTCCAAAATCAGCTGTTTATCATTTTAACTCTTCAAATTAAGAGTTTCTTTTAAAATCTGACTCAGATTCTTTTGATTCCTCTAGAATAGCATCTAGCATTGTCTGTTTCAAGATTTCTGTTTGTTTAAACGTACCGCCTTCTAACTCTTCATCGCTATAGCCCATCTCATCAGTAGATACCCTTTAATGATAACCAACTATATTTTTAGCTGTTAGCTTGATTGTTTTGACTAAAAATCTAGCCATAATTGTCTTTAGGTTCATTTCATGCCCAAAAAGTTGCTTTTTAAAGTGTTAGATATCTCGGTTAGCTTTGGATTTATTAATAATGTCCTTCAAACTTTCTATAATTGTCTTTAAAGTCTATTAATATTCATCACATTATTGCTAATAGTCTTCCATCTTAGCTCTTAGTTAATTTGATGACTAATTTATGTTATTGATTTATTGATTATCACTATCCTAAGTAGTTTATACCTCATCAAAATTTGATTAGAATAACGAAACATTTTTATTTTCCAATATGAATTAATTCAGGCCTTTCTCATACATTAAACCAATGTTGATTTCAGACTCAAGTTTTTACTGATACTCTAATAGTTGCTAAATCTCCAAGTCAATTGCACTGGTCTAATTAATCAGCTAAATATCTATTTAGAACTAGGGTTTGTTAAATTCTTCATACATCAAACTTTTACTTATAAACTCATCTGATAATTTGGCTTTATTCGGATAAAGCAACTTTGGATCTTGTAAATTCCATTTTTTTATGAACAAGTCTGTCAATGTCTTAATTTGAAAAATGCATGATAGATCTTTTTCTTTAATTTTCTAGAGCAAGAAGTCAAATATCTCGAATATAGCTAATTTGATCTCTTAGCTCAGAGAACTTGGATCTTTGTATTTCCCTATTATTTGAAGGTTTTAAATTTTGTAAAGTATAAGTTCAGCAGTTTAGTTAAGAATATTAATATTTAAGGGTAAAGTACGTGAAGTTTCTATATTTTATGATTAATCTGACATTTTAAATAAAGTTAATAGAAAAATGATATTATATTTTTGGATACAATATATGGGATTTCATTTCCTTTTTCTGAACATACTTTATCTATTTGGGGTTTTGGGGTTTTGGGGTTTTTAGG